CCCCCTGCCACTGCCGCCGCTTGCAAGCCGGCTGCATGGGGCTTCCACTGCCTCCCCGCAACAAGGCAGAGGGTTCTCCCCTCCCCGCGCCGTTCCCCACTGACCCCTCCCCCCCACACAGTGCTGGTCCCGGGAGACCTGTCACAGCACCCTGCCGGAGTACCTCCTGGTACTCCGGCATATGCAATAATCTGGCACCCCCGAGGACCCAAGGGTGCCGGATTATTGGAAGTCTACTGTAGTTTCTCAATCAAATATTCTAACATCTACTCTGACATGCTATCATACTTTAATATCTTAATAGCTTTAGAGCCATATGCTTTTGAGAGAGTTTCTTTTCTAGAAACTATAATTTTTGCCATTGAGAGACTACTAGAATTGTAAGTATCTAAATTCTGTTGACCGGATAAAAACGATTAGGCTATTCTTTTGGAAAAACAACCCACCCTGTTTTTTCCCTCTCTCGCTCTCTCTTTTTGTCCTGACAAATTAGATTCACTCTGTTTAGACCAGTGCAATCTTTTTTTGTTGACTATAGTAGAAGTAAATATGTATCTTCACAATAAGTGTCCATTCTAGTATAATTAGTGGGTGTAAAACAAAATAAAACCCAATTTAGAGATGTTTATACTTGAGGGATTATTGGCATTCACTTGGTTCCTTTTTTCAGTTTTACCAAATATTGTTTGTTTTAATTTTCATTAAAGATGAACAAAATTATTGATAACACATTTTTAAAATAACTAAGAAGCTGATAAATACAGAAGATAAGGGAGTACTACAGAGCTGATATGTTAAATTATGATTTGCAGTATACAAGATATTTTTATAAAACTTTCTAAAATCATTTTCCCTATTTATCTCTTATCAAATAGATAATTTGTCTAGTACTAACAATAAGTCATTTCATTTTTATTGTGTCAATCACATTTCAATAGTTGATTTTTTTTTCCTTCCAAAGATTGTGTTCAAATAATATATTTGCAGTTTTATTACATTTAGAGTGTATTACAGTTCTATTTTAATTTCAGCAAATCAGGGCACTTACCTAATGCCTTGTTTTCTAATATTTGCTTTGTTTTATAAGTAGTTTTAACTACAAAGTAACCTGAAATTCTTTAAAAATGCGTGTCATATTTCCTGAGTGTTTTAGAAAGGAGAGGTGATTCCAGTATTTCTCCCCTGAAAAAGACCGCACCAAGAAATTGAAGGAAGACTTTGTTTTATTTGCTGAAGATAAATTGGCATGTCTTTAAACAAGAACAGTCTTGTTGCTATTGGTGGATCTAGTTTTCTATACTGCTAACATTATAAATGTATTTTTATAACAAGAATATTGCAATGACAGTGCCTTGGTATACTAGTCTCCTTGAGATGTTGGTGCCCTCTGTTGATGTTCTTTGTCTTGCTTAATTATTTCAGTGGTTCTTTTTATTTTGTTGTACTTGGCACAGATATCAAAGCGGTACTATCAGAACAAACTGCTTGGACTGTCTGGATAGAACAAACAGTGTGCAGGCTTTCTTTGGCTTAGAGGTAGGAAAATAATGTAGATTCTAGATGTAGAACTTATAACCAGAGATTGGTTAATTTTGTTTCTGATGCTTCTATAAAATTACCAAAAAATTGCCAGGGGGTAGGATTAATTACAACAGGACTACTCAATACGCAGCCCATTTATATGCAACCACACTTAAATTGCGGCCCTTGGCATGTGCTGAGAGTATCATTGTGGCCCCAGGGGCTTCCAAACTTGAGTAGCCCTGTATTACAATGTGCACAAGTTATGGGTGAGAATCTGGTTTGCAGCATGCTTCTGTAGTTCAGTGCGTTAAAATATCTTGGTAGCTCACAATTCTTATTAGTATAAAAATTGTAAGATACCAGTTTTAGGGAAGGTATATTTTTGTTTTACTACTATTAATGCATTCACATTTATTTTGCATTTCCATCTGTTTTTCCTTCAAGATTCAACCTTGTAATTCTAAAGAAGTACTGTAAAAGTCCCGAACAAAAGCACTTGAGCCATAACATTTGCTGTGATGAAACTAAAGGTAGATCTGCCATAAGGTCAAAAGTTGATTGAAGCTACACAGCTTGGGTGCATCTAGACTGGCAAGATTTTGCGCAAAAGCAGCTGCTTTTGCGCAAAATCTTGCCAGTCTAGATGCACCCAAGCTGTGTAGCTTCAATCAACTTTTGACCTTATGGCAGATCTACCTTTAGTTTCATCACAGCAAATGTTATGGCTCAAGTGCTTTTGTTCGGGACTTTTACAGTACTTCTTTAGAATTACAAGGTTGAATCTTGAAGGAAAAACAGATGGAAATGCAAAATAAATGTGAATGCATTAATAGTAGTAAAACAAAAATATACCTTAATGCTTTTGCTCAAAAGCAAGTCTTTTGCGCAAAGGCACATGCCAGTATAGACTCTTGCGCAAATATTTTTAACGGAAAAACTTCTGTTAAAAGTATTTGCGCAAAATCATGCCAGTGTAGACGCAGCCCTTGAGTTTTGTTACAGGTTGAAACTCTCCTAAACGGGATTCTGTGGTCCAGCAGCATTCATGGTCTGGCATGGATGTTGCAGGACCAGAGAGTCCCAGTGAAGGCCAGTGGCAAGGATCTCTGTGGGGCGGGCAGCGCAGTGGGCTAGCTGCAGTGAGCCCTCTGTCAGCCCTGTGGCAGCAGGTCTGCCCAGCGGGGTTGGGAGCTGAGGTAGCTTGGTGGGACAGGGATCCATGGCATGTGTGCCCTGTGGTTCCTGCATCCCCAGGGCAGTGCGTGTGGCTGCCCTGTGGGTCATGGATCCCCAGGGTGGCGCACACGGCTGCCTTGCAGGTCCCAGAGCCAGGACAGCAATGGCTGCTTAGTGGGGTTGGCAGGGCCAGCAGGAGGTGAGGACCTAGCCGGGAGGCCAGTGGGCCGGGCAGGGGGGCTGGCAGCCGGGGGTCCAGAAATTATCTTCCCTAGTCTGGAAAACATCCCTCATTCGTCACCGGTCAGGTCCTGAGGGTGCTGGACCAGGGAGGTGCAATTGTAGTAGCACCAGTGGATGTAGCTTAGATCTACTTACTGCAGGATTCACACTGCTCTGGATTGATGAGAGGAAGTTCTCAGGTTGACTCCCCTTACTCATCTCATTCTGGTTGAGTACCAGCCCAAGCAACCAGTGTTAGTTTTAGTGGGACTTCACTAGACAAGCTAAATTGAGCACCGGTGGATCCATCACCACAGCATTGATCCCAGCTGTAGTGGAGAAAAGCTCTAAGATTCCTCAAATTGAACTTACAGTGAGCACTGTGGATAAAGTTTTTTGCTGCACATAGAATCCTAGAACTGGAAGGGACCTCGAGAGGTCATTGAGTCAAGTCCCCTGCTAGGGAGGTGGACCAAGCACTGTCTAGATCATCTCTGACAGATGTCTATCCAACCTGCTCTTAAATATCTCCAGAGATGGAGATTCCACAACCTCCCTAGGCAATTTATTCCAGTGTTTAACCACCCTGACAGTTAGGAATTTTTTCCTAATGTCCAACCTAAATCTCCCTTGCTGCAATTTAAGCCCATTGCTGCTTGTCCTATCATCAGAGGCCAAGAGGAAATTTTTTTCTCCCTCCTCCTTGTAACACCCTTGTGGATAACTTGAAAACTGCTATCATGTCCTCCCTCAGTCTTCTCTTTTCTAAACTAAACAAGACTAATTCTTTCAATCTTTCCTCATAGGTCATGTTTTCTAGACCTTTAACCATTTTTGTTGCTCTTCTGTGGACCTACTCCAATTTTTCCACATCTTCCTTGAAATATGGTGCCCAGAACTGAACACAGTACTCCATTTGGGGCCTAATCAGCACAAAGTAGAACAGAAGAATGACTTCTCGGGTCTTGCGCTCAACATTCCTGTTAATGCATCCCAGAATCAAGTTTGCTTTTTTTGCAACAGTGTCACACTGTTGACTCATGTTTATCTTGGGGTCCACTATGACCCTTAGATCCCTTTCTGCAGTACTCCTTCCTAGACAGTTGCTTCCCATTCTGTGTGTGTGAGATTGATTGTTCCTTTCTAAGTGGAGAACTTTGCATTTGTCCTTAATAAACTTCATCCTGTTTACTTCAGACCATTTCTCTAGTTTGTCCAGATCATTTTGAATTATGACCCTATCCTCCAGAGCAGTTGCAACCCCTCCCAGCCTGGTATAATCTGCACCCTTAGTAAGTGTACTCTCTATGCCAATATCTAAATCATTGATGAAGATATTGAACAGAACCGGTCCCAAAACAGACCCCTGTGGAACCCCACTTGTTATGCCCTTCCAGCGGGATTGTGAACCATTAATAACTACTCTCTGAGAATGGTTATCCAGCCAGTTATGCACCCACCTTATAGTAGCCCCATCTAGGTTTTATGTCCCTAGTTTATTGATGAGAAGGTCATGTGAGATCATGTCAAATGCTGTCCTAAAGTCTAGGTATGCCACATCCATCGCTTCTCCCTTACTCACAAGGCTTGATATCCTATCAAAGAAAGCTGTCAGATTGGTTTGGCATTATTTGTTCTTTACAAATCCAGGCTGGCTGTTACTTATCACCTTATTATCTTCCAGATGTTTGCAGATGTATTCTTTAATTACTTGCTCCATTATCTTTCCTGGCACAGAAGTTAAACTAACTGGTCCATAGTTTTCTGGGTAGTTTCCACATACTACTGTCCTTAATGGTTACCGGTACTACTTTCCAAGAAACATAATTAGCCAATGAATTTTGGATTACTTAGCAAATGATACATTTGGGGCCCCACCTGTGCCCCAAATCCTTGGCTGTGGAGGCACTCTAGAATGCAGTTTTACCCTGGAGCACAATTTTACAGGAATCAGATTTAATTTTTAAAAATGTCTAGCTCTTGAGATTATAAAGCAAAGCTTGAAAATATGAACTAGACGTAAACTGATGTAGTGGTGTCTGAGTTTGCAGACAGCCTAAATCAATAGCTTTGAGAAATTTGGACTGTTCTACTCATCATAATAAATTGTTAATTCTGAAACCTAAACATGAAACTTGCAGCATATTTAAAAATGGAAATGTGTGGACACAGTAAAACTAAATATAAATGTAAGCAAGAATACTGTATTTTTTTCTTTGAATTCAATACAACTCACAGATTTTAATATTAAATGAAGTTTCTGCAGAATTTTCTATGGAAAGTTGTAGAATCCAGTGACTACGGAGCAAAATTTAGGTCTTAATTGTTTGCTGAATATCTAAAGCTTTGATTATGGTAGTCTGCCTGTACAATGATGTTCTAGTCAAATAGTCCACTCAATCATTCACCTTTACAGAAACATTCGCTAATTTCTTTTCTTCACTGTTATGTTATATCCGTGAGTAAATGGTGGATCTAACCAAAGCTTGAAAGATCTGAGGTTTTGTAGTGTTTCAGCTGCCCGTACCGCAGGGAATTATTAGAATTTTTATGACATAGAACCCAGAGAAATGGAAAAATATGCCAAATAGGGCCTGTTACTAATATATATTAACCTTGTAGGAACTCTTCCCTTTTCTATATTAATTTACTGTGTGTACTGTAAACAAAAAATTTGGTTACTTTAAATAGTTTATCCATATATCTACTTCATACTGATTTTTATCATGGAAAAGATACAGAGATTGTAACTGTAAAGAAGGTTTTTTTATCCTAAATCTGTGTCCAGGTTGGTTTTTAATTGACCGTTTTCAAGCTTATATCCATAACCATAAGGGATAGAATATTAAATTTTCTTTTTTAAATAAAAGAAATTACCATGTGATTGCATAACTGCAGAAACTGGGACTTTTAATAAAAATATCAGATATCATGAGGCTTACGATAAACTTTCAAGAGTTGGCATAATTCTCCCCCTTTGAAAATTTTTCTCCACTCTGTGCGCTCAAAGGAGCAACAGTAGGACATATCCTCAGGAGGAGGGAGAAAGAAGATTCTTCTATGTCCTCTCCCCATCCAGGAATTCTTTCTTCGCCTCAATTTGGAAGTTTCCCCTGTCCTCTTTTTTTTTTTTTAAGAATAGGCAGTAAATGTGGGAAGGTAACATAATAAGAAGCTGCTTCCTGAAACCTAGGGTTGGGAAACAGCAGCTGTATATCAGAGGAAGAAGTCTGTTGCACTAGGGCTCAAGGAGAGCAAGAAAAATATCTGTTCCCTAGAGCCTTTTTTGTGCAGCATTGTAGAGGTGGCAGTGACGATTATAAAAATTACTTCGAGGGCCCAGTCAGGCAGATTTCCCACTTTCTCTCCAACACCTTCCCTGACCTTTGCAGCTATACCTGGCAAGTAGGTGCCTTTGAAAAGGCTATCTGGAAGAAAATATCCTAGGAGGAAGATCTGCCTTTGGCACATATATGTCTGACACCTCTGGATTTAAACTAGTGTAGCTGTAAATTACAACACTTACTCAAATTAATATCCTCCTTATAGTGACTATAAGAATGAATGAAATTTGTGTTTTGACTCTTAGCACTTGAAATTTGAGGGAAGATAAAGTGAACCACAAAGGCATTGCTGTTTTACTCCTTTTAGCATCCATTGCTCTCTGGTAGAAAAGGTCAGTGATACTCTGAGACTAGGGTTGCCAATTTTTGAGTCACACAAAACCAAACACCCTTGCTCCACACCTTCACCGAGACTCTGCCCTACTCTCTCCAGTCCCCCTCTCTCTGTTGGCTTGCTGTCCTCCAGCCTCACTCACTTTTACTGCTCTGGGGCAAGGGATTTGGGTACATGGGCGGTGCAAGCTCTGCCTGGGGGTACAGGTTCTGTGTTGGATACAGAAATTAGAGGTTCAGGACGTGAGAGGACTCTGGGCTGGAGCAGGGGGTTGAGGTGTGGGAGGAGGTGCGGAGCAGGGAATAAGGGTGAGGATGCATGCTCCATCCAGGCAGCACATTACTCATCTCCCAGTTGGCTGTGGCAACATGTGGAGTCTTCCTGGCTGCTCCTGCACTTCCAGGAGCTCTGTGGAAACTGCCTTAGCTCCATTGCTTCACTGACTGGATTTTTAACAGCTTGGTCAGTGGTGCTGACCTGAGCTGCTAGGGTCCCTTTTTGACTGGGTGTTCCAGCCAAAAATGGGATGCCTGGAGAGACTTAACTGAGATTCTGATCGGAACAATGTAAAGCAAACTTTGTTTGGATACTAATGCAGAATTAAAGACCCGGAAATAAAAAATAGCATTTTTAGATTAAAACACTGAATCTAGCCTGTATCTCAGATATACCTATATCTCCCTAGCAATGTCTGGTTTGACTTTAGCAGAAGCGTTTATTGGGGTTTTTTTTAATGTATGTTATGGTGCTGAGTGAGAGAGAGTTTGTTAATGTGACAGTGTCATTTTTTCCATAATGCAGAGTTAAAGTAAATGCTTTTTTTTTGGCAAGGAGAATTTGACAGCATATATTTTAATGCATTCACTTCATGAGCCTTTGTGTAAATGTTCTTTTGAACTGTTTCAGATGCTAACAAAGCAACTGGAGGTTTTAGGTTTAGCTGAGAAGCCTCAGTTGGTTACTCGTTTCCAGGAAGTTTTCCGGTCTATGTGGTCTGTGAATGGTGACTCGGTCAGTAAAATATATGCAGGAACTGGAGCTCTTGAAGGAAAGGCTAAGGTAAAAGCTCTCTTTAATAATAAACATTTAGCAGAATTCAAAGTGTGTTCATTTTACCATAAATGTAACTACCGCAAGGTACTTCCTTCATCAAATGTATTTTTGTAGAAAGTAATGGTGTAATAAATAAATGATAAAATTGAATTACAATTTTAAAAAGTCCTACCTAACAGTGTTTCAATAACATATTTTCCCAGTTTGAATTTTACTCTGTATTCCTGATTACTACCTTCTTTAGCGAGTGGCGAGGGTCAGAGAAGAACCCTTACTCAGTTCACATTGCAGTGTCAGAAGACGTATGTTCAATCCATACTAGTTTTTTTGCATAGCTGGTTTCTCTCTGGCCCTTTTCTCAGTTGCATTAATTTTAATCTAGCATATAAATTTTCCATTTGAGCATATTATAAAAGAAATCATTCTTGTGTTTATTCTGATTGGTTTTGTTTTACCTCTTCCGTTTGCCATGTTAATTTGATTAGATCAGTGGTCTCCAACCTTTTTAAGCACAAGATCACTTTTTAAATTAGTCCAGGATCTACCTCAAACCAAAATACCTTGCCCCGCCCCTTCTCTGAGGCCCCACCCTCTGTAGTCTGTGAAGCTAGGGTACAGGAGAGGAGGACAGAGTGACATAAGTGCCCCCCTGCCTTTGTCTCCCTGACCCTGCACAACAAGCAGGAGGCTTCTGGCAGGAGCAGCAGGGCAGTGGGGCAAGGAGCAGCTGAAGTACCAACAGTTGATAGCCTCCCAGAGGCTTCCAGTGTCAGAGGCTCCAAGATCTACCAGTAGATCCTGGCTGGTGACCACTGGGCTAGATCATAGTTTGTGTCATCCTTCAGCGATACCTTTCTAGTTGTCTGGTTATTGGGAGGAAAAAAGAAACAACCCAAAGAAATTAGAAAAGGAGCTGTTTTTTCTTGTGATAGGCAATTCTGTGCTTTTCCATGCTTATTGTCCATTTTATTTCTTCAGCCTATTTTGTCTCAGTTAATACTTAAATTGTTCAAATCACCTAATGCTATTTTCTTCTTTTTACAAATATATATTCTTATTTTCATAAAGTTTCTTATTTCTTATCAGGTGGTATACACTAAATGTTGCACCAGTAAGCTAAACCCCTCTCAATTCCTCCATTGTGTCTTTTCATTCTAATGCAATTCATGTACAAAATCACTTTTCAATCTCTCAAATCTCCATATCCCTCTTTCTTTGTATCATTAATATTTAGATTTTATTAACAATTTTGTTTTTCTACTTTACCTCAAAATATACTGTCAGAAATCCTGTACACTTGTAGCTGACATGGCAATAGGTTCCATAAACATTAGTTAAATAATAGGTCAGATTCTGCATTTAGATTGGTACATGCAAGTCCCATTGACCTGAGAATTGTTTGTGTTCCTCTGAAAGTAGAATTTGTCCAGGTATTTTTAATTCTATTTGCTGTGCTAGCAATGTGACCCAGACTCTGGAAATATAAGGGTTTTTCCCTGTTTACTGACTTTTCTTCTTAGTCCTTATTTATTTAATTACATGATGCTTCACTGTCGTGCTTTTTGATTATTTCATTCACTTTGCTGGTTTCTGTATAGGCACACTATATCTTGTGCTTGTCTGCAAGTTATAAATATTCCTTGTACAGCTGTTAACCTTCTTGCTAGTACAAAAGTACTCTTTAACGAGCTACAGCTCATTCTGCCAGGAAAAGGTCCATCTAGTCTAAAAGAAACAGTAATACTCAAGTCCTGCGATATATGACATTATTTTTGGTAGCACATCTAGATCCCTAGTGAGTTATCACCTGCTCCATTGGGGTTGTTAATATATCTAAAAATATTTCTGGTAGGTTTCTATCATAATTTCTCAAAGCTTGTTTGAAATCCATATAGTTGTCACTTATATGTAATTGGATTCTTCAAGGTCCAAGAGAGCTTAAAAGTTAAAACGTATTTAAGATATGAAAAGATTCTATCTTTAAATTGAAATGTATAAATATACAGTATAATTATTTATCGAAGACTCTAGATTCAAGGACTATTATATTCATTTACATCTAACACCTTAACTACTCTTTCTTTTGCTTTCTCTGGGTTCTGTCAATTAATTGCCTGAAATGTGAATGGTGAGTGTGGCTTTTTTTAGATCATGTCATACATTCTGTATATTGTCTGATAGAAAGGAAACTGCCTCTTAAAAACAACAATTGCGGTAAAATAGTGAAACAACTTTATCACAAGAATACTTCATTTTTTTTTAAACATGATGCAGTTAAGTTCCTTCGAACCTTGACAACAGAAAAACATCTTTTGCTGTTCTGTATTACGCTTCTCAGACCTAAATAGTGGGATGATTTTGAGCTTTCATAAAGCTTTGTTTTTAACTTATAGTGAGCACTGAAGTGTCCTTTACAAACAATTCAAGCCACAAATTTACCATTTTTTGCAGAGAATATAATCCCATGCAACATCCACGAAGAGGTATATTCTACATGAAGTACTGACTATTCATATACCACTGAATGAAATGTCAGGCATGCAAGATATGACTCTATCATCCTCCCATATTAGCTGACTTGTGCTTGAGCTATTGGGCTGTTTAATTGTGATATAGATGTTCAGGCTCAGGCTCCAGCCTACACCCAAAAGTCTGTGCTGCAATTACACAACCTAATAGTTCAAGTTATTCCTTTTAAGACATAGATATTTCATGTGTTTTGGTTTCATGTACTTGTTCATCTCCCACTATTTGAGGAAAAGTCCTAAATTCCATAGTATGGTCTAACATTGCACTGTGTGGATTTTTTTAAGATCAAGAACTTGGATACATTTTATGTTCCTCTCCCCTCTTTTAGTGGAATAATTTGTTTTCTAAATGTGCCTTGATATCTCAGCATTGTTATGTGACTTTTGCAGAAGCAAAAAACATAATGCAGACGTTTTACAGTAAACCCTGAAGATAGTTATTTTATCTTTTAAAGTAAATCAACTCACTGAGAGATTATAAATATTGGAAAATGAAATTTCAAATTATATGTGAATGTTGCCAGTGTTTTATGTAGTTTTTCCAATGTAAAATATTTTACAATATTCCTCCCTACCAGGCTGGAAAGCTGAAGGATGGTGCTCGCTCTGTGACCAGAACAATTCAGAATAACTTTTTTGATAGCTCCAAGCAGGAGGCCATTGATGTTTTGTTGTTGGGGAATACCCTAAATAGTGATTTAGCAGATAAAGCCCGAGCTCTCTTAACCACCAGCAGTTTACGTGGTACGTGCATTTCAGAATTTTACTCTATATAATAACTCTTGGTGCTAATAAAATTAGTACATTCAGTTTCCAAGCACTATTTAAAAGTAAAAAAGTCAGATGATCTGCTTATTAAAAATATAGATTCCTATGCTTTACTAATATTGCTAAGCTAACATGCAATGAGGGTTTCTGTGCTGTTTATATGGTGTGGCTAATTGTAGAACAGGGATAAGTATTTGTAAACTACATATTTAGAAAATAACTAGTCTGACGAATCAAGTCCAGTACTTTTGGTTATGGATGCTATTTTTCTCTAACTTTGGTTTATAGCAGTTAAAAACCCAAATACATACTTATCCAATCTGAGAACTCAAAATTCCAAGTTTATTAAAACTTTCTACTTTTTTTGTTTGGGAGCTGGATGTTACCTTGAGTTTACATCTGTCATATCATATTCAGAGTGAAGGAAAATCTTGGGATGAACATATACTCCCAATAATTTTTGTTAAACTCTTTGGAATGCACCTCTTTTTATAGTAAAGTTTTATTTCTAGATATTAGTGTTTATTGTAATGTTAGTTTTTCAAGGCAGTTCGTTAAACAATTAAATGTAATACATCCATGAGGGGAAAATTAAATTTATAACTCTGGATGATCAGTTTACTGCTTGAAGTCTTGAAAGTCTTCGCCCCTCACCCCCTCTTTTTTGCTCCAGTTGACACAACAAGGCTCCGTGTCATTTCAACCTTTTGTGCAGCTAAAGACTATTAGATGAGTCTAATAGAGTGATGCAGTGTCACTCTGAAAGGGTATTGATTCTGCTTTTTTCTTCTCAATCGTGCTACAGAATACAAGCTGGCTGTTCAGTGCACACAGATGATGTTAGCTCACGGAACATATCTATGAAGGTGTAACATATTAACAATAGGGTTACGTGGCTATCATGCAAATTGTTTTAAATGTAAAGGGTTTACTTGGAATAGGACCGTTAGTTAATGACCACTGTGAAGCTTTTTAAACATCTGGAGGCAAGCGTCAGGATTTTGTAGCACATACAGATGTGCTTGATAAAGCCAAACATTATTACAAACATTTTATTTCAGTGCATATTATCTCAGAACACTACAGTTTTTGAAGCATAACTGTTGTTTCTAATTTCTTCTTGTTTTTTTTCTTGCTGCATCCATAGTTTCAGAGCAGTCATTGCAATCAGGTAAGGGGTAGTAAATTAAGCCAGAAACAGCTGAGCAATTGTTCTTCCCTAGCTTTTTCTTGGGTTTCTGCTTAAGAATTCATTCATTCTTTATGTGATGTAATCAAGAAACCGAATTTGCTTTGCCTTCAGATTTTTTGGACTCTGCACTTATGTACCACAAAGATTGGAACAGTTTTGTAAAATATGGGGAAAGTTGATGGAAAAAAGGGAAATAAATATGTGTGGAAGTGTGATGACAAATGTAATGGATATTTTTCAAGATGCAAAGGGAATTTTTGTTTTTTAGTCAAAATCAGTATTTCATCTAGGATAATAAGTAATATATAATAGGAGTGTCTTTAGAACAGTCACAGTTTTAAGTACTTTGACTGTAGGATATCTTCTTACTTGTTCTGTATTCTTGCACACAATTAGCTAAATTCAAAATGTTGTGAGGCGGAGCTATTGATTAATTCCTATTAAGTCATGAGATTAATTCAATTTTTCATGATTTTTCTAATTTTTAATCACCTTGTTTAAAAGTAGACTCTTAATTGAAATGTATTAAAAAAAATTTGATATTCTACATTTTCAGATGTAGATTTCAGTTATAGCACAGAATATAAAGTGTACAGTGTTCACTTTGCAAATATTTGCAATAAAAATATACTGTAAAACCTAAAGAAAAAGGTATTTTTCAATTCAGCCAGTTGCTTAGAGCAGGGGTGGGGAACTTAAGGCCCGTGAGCCGGATGTGGCCCCTGGGTTGCCTGGATCTAGTCCCCGAGGTTTAGGGCCTCCCTTAGCATTGGGGAGTCTCCTATTGCCTCCCTGCAGCCCCCAACTGATTTTTCTGTGCAGCCCCTGATCCAAAAAAGGTTCCCTACCCTTGGCTTTTAGAGAAATGGTTTTTTTGCATCTATGGGAGAAAACCCTACCTGTTTTTTATTTGCAATGTCACCTGAAAGTGAGAACAGGCGTTTTCATGGCACCCTTTTAGCCTGACACAGGCCAGCTATGCATATTTTACTGCAGTGTAGACATACCCTTAATGTTTGTGTTAGTACTCTGTATTCCCTAGTGCCGTTGTGTCCAACTCACTAGCCATTAGCCACATGTGGCTGTATGGCCAAGTATGTGTGACTATATGACTTTCTCATTTTTATCTAAAAGCCACTTCCTGGTGTTGTGCAAGCATTATAAAGTTAATAAAGTTATGCTTTTATTAATCTGTTGTGTATCTATTATGGGACAATTTAGAGCACTTGCTTTCTGCCTCTTGTGCAATGCACTATCTCTGGCTATGTCTACAGTACAGAGTTTTTCCGGGATACCAGTGGTATCCCGGAAAAACTCTGACACGTCCAGGCAACACATCTGCTCTTCCAACATTTTTTGTGGAAGAGCAGACCGCTCTTTCGGAAGCCCTGTAAATCTCGTTTCATGAGGAAGAAAGACTCTTCTGAAAGAGGAAGTTTTTCCGAACTTTGGCCCAGTGTAGATGGGCCAACTTTTGGAAAAGCCTCTTCCGAAAAAACAATTAGAAAAAGGTACGCAAATTATGGAGCGCAATTTGCATACCTTTTTCAGAAAAATAAGTGTAGGGTAGACCTAGCCTCCCTCTTCCAGAAGCTCTTCTTTTAAACCGATTACTTTCCTGCAGAGATGTTAACTTTTAGAATGTCCAACAAAAGTTTGTACTGTTTCTGAGCCTTAATTTTACTGGTTGTGATCCAACAGTGTTTGAAGTCAGTGGTTTCAGTGGAGCATTCAGCTCCACATACACTTAGTCCCTGGGTGAGGAGAGCCTGTAGACTTAATCAATTGGAAAGTCCATTGCAGAGACCATTTGGTTCTTTTGAAGAGATTGATAGAGCAGGGAGATTTTTTTTTATCAAATATTTTTCCTGAAGAAATGAAGATTGGGTGATACCAAAACATTATGTTTTTGTCAAATTGTTTTGGTTGGAGAAGAGGAACTAAACATTTTTTCTAAAAACTAAAAGTGTTTTTCACTTGTTGATATATTTCAGTTTTTTGTTCAAAATGAGTTTTTAAAAACATTTCTTTAATTTTATTTTTTTAAATCAAGGTTTTAAAAATATGCTTTTTCAGTTTTGTCCATGTGAAAATTTGGTTTGACTCAAAACTGTTTTTTTATATTTTGTAATTTGAATATCAGATGTTTTTGGTTTGCTTCACACAGCCATCTCAACAGATTCTGCAAGGCATCCCAGTCAACACTTTGTCTACAGAATGATGGCTGTTGACTGAGGTTTAAAATCAGCGAAGGTTACAGGGATAAGATTTTTGGAAGGAACCCAGGTTCCAGAGAATTTAAGAATTTATTGCTCGCTAGATCAGATTATTTAAACAAAACTTATATGTTGAAACCCTTTTGCTGGTAACTGTAGTTAAGTGTGTATTTTACATTTAGAACTTTATACATATAGGTTTCCCCCCAGGACTTCCTGTTAGCTTTGAGAGGCTTTTTTATTAATGCTCATTGCAGCTACTTAACTTTTTATTCAATATGTCTGTATCAGGCATTAAGAGCTTTAAGTCAACTTCACTGACTTTTTAAAATATGAAGTCTAAGGAGTCATTGGTAATGTATTATTCAAATTAATTGGCAGGCTATCATTTTGCTGTTTTAAAAGCATTTTAAATATTTTTATTACATTAAATGTTGGCTTTTGCATTTGGGATCCTATCCCTTTGAACTACAGCAGTTTGACTTCCCTAATTTTGTAGGGGTGACATAAATGTCAATTACTCTTTAAACTATTGACTTAACAGTTCATCTCTAGTCTTGTATCTAATCCTAGACAAGCATATCAAAAATAAACATACACAATGATTTACTGTTTAGCAAGATATTTGAAATATATTTCCAAAAGTTTTTGTAAAAAATAGTCTGAATATCT